AGGCCACACCCAACAGCAGAAACTCATTAGGATTGGTTGCATTAGGGGTGTGTGGCCTAACATGCAAAGGAGTTCCTGCTACAAAAAAAGCCCTGGCCGTTTTGACAACAAACAAGGTAAACAGAATAAGGAGCAAAAGGTGGGTGTGGCCTAATATGCCAATGAGCTGTGCTGTCAGGGGTGTGGCCTAATATGCTAATGAGTTCCTTGTGGGCTTTTTCTACCCCCCCCCCCCCGCTTGACTCCATAGTCCAGGTAGAGATGTTCAGCCCAGTAACAAAGGATCAAACTCCAACCTGCATTGAATCCAGAGAGAAATAATTTCTGACAGTTGGGACCAATGCTCCCTCTAAGCTGTGGGCAAAAATTCTACTTTGTGAGCTACTGGCATTAAAGTTGTGAGTGAGCAATTTGGCTACTGCATAAATTAGTTTGCTCCGGAGCAATGCTCCCTCTAAGCTGTGGAGTCTTGTGAGCAAAAATTCGTCTTTGTGAGCTACTGACCTTAAAGTTGTGAGCGAACGATTTGGCTACCACATAAATTAGTTTGCTCTGGAGCCATCCTTCCTGAGCTGAGACAAAAAGGTGTGAGCTGGAGGCTAAGAAACTGTGAACTAGCTCACACTAGCTCAGCTTAGAGGGAACATTGCTCTGGAGCTATCCTCCCTGTGCTAAGACAAAAACGTGTGAGCCAGAGGCTAAAAAACTGTGAGCTAGCTCACGCTAACTCAGCTTAAAGGGAACACTGGTTGGGACAATAAGAAGTGTTCCAATCTGACCTGTATTTGCTGTCTTCCTACCCCTTTTCACTCTCCACAGTTCGGGTAGTGACAGTGTAACCCAAACAGACAACATGTGTATATACTCTAACTAAAGGGGCATCTCCCATTTAAGAGGACAGAAGCCTATACACATATGAGCTCCGGGCAAATATTATAGGTCCCGTATTTCTTATGTCTGCCAGAGTCCAAGATTTGACCTAATGCCTCATAAGGCTGTGCAGATTCTTCAAAATAAACAGACATGGGTTTATAGTTGAAGATTTATTAAGGAAAAGAACAGCAGCAAAGGGAATGAGCAAACTAAAGTTTGACACATGTGCGCGCACACACACTCTAAATAAATGTTCTACAAATCCTAACTTCTACTAAGTCCTAACCTAAACAACCAGTTTAAAGAGAGTCTAAAGAGAAATGTGGGGGGAGGTGAGAAGGAGGAAGAAAGATATACCAGACTGTCCTGGTAAGTGAAGTCCTATAGATTTCAATGTCAGGGTTCTTTTTGGGCAGGAACGCACAGGAACGGAGTTCCGGCTGGCTCCTGAGTTGGCCACGCCCAGCAGGAACTCATTAGCATAATAGGCCACACCCAACAGCAGAAACTCATTAGGATTGGTTGCATTAGGGGTGTGTGGCCTAACATGCAAAGGAGTTCCTGCTACAAAAAAAGCCCTGGCCGTTTTGACAACAAACAAGGTAAACAGAATAAGAAGCAAAAGGTGGGTGTGGCTGGATGACCACACTTTTCTGGTAACATGGGGGTGTGGCCTAATGTGCTAATAAGTGGTGCTGTTGGGTGTGGTCTATTATGCTAATGAGTTCCTGCTGGGCTTTTTCTACAAAAAGAGCCCTGGTTCATCAGAGGAAGGAGAAAGAAGAGTGGGGAGGGTGACAAGGAAGAGCGAAGCACGGTCCTCACATAAGCCTGCATTGTGACAGCAGGGCCGAGGCAGAGACCTGCACACATTCCCCACTATGCGTTCCCACGTGGGGGTCGTGGAGCCAGTTGCCGGAGCCCAGTAAAGAGATGGGAATCAATGGCTGGAACACAAAAGGTGGGATTCTTGGGGCTAACTTTATACCTCGAAAGGAAGAAGGAGGAGAAGGAGAAGGAGGAGGAGGAGAAGGAGGAGACGGAGAAGAAGAAGAGGAGGAGGAGGAGGAGATTGGATTTATACCCCGCCCTTCACTATCCAGAGGAGTCTCAGAGCGGCTTACAAGCTCCTTTCCCTTCCCCTCCCCACCACAGACACTCTGTGAGGTAGGTGGGGCGGAGAGAGCTCTGACAGAAACTGCTCTTTTTCAAGGACAGCTCTTATCAGAACTACGGCTTGCCCAAGGTCATCCAGCAGGTGCAAGTGGAGGAGTGGGGAAACAAACCCGGTTCTCCCAGATTAGAGTCTGCGCACTTAACCACTACAACCAAAGATAGAAGGGGAAATAAGATATTTCTCAAGAGTGAATTGGGTTGGAGCCAAAAGTTTCAAACCTCGCTCGTGGATCAGTGAGAAAACAAGGATGAAATTGGGGATTCTGAGTATTTCTTTGATTCAGGGGTCTATAAATGGCTATGGGACATTTGGCCAGATGAAACCTCCACGTTCAGAGGCAGCATATTTCTGAATACAAGCTGCTAGAGGGCAAACAGCTACCTTCCTCCTCGTGGGCTTCCCGGGGGCATCTGTTTGGTCACTGCTATTTATGCTATCCTGCCCTTTCCGCAAGTGGCCTCAGGGCAGGTTACAACAATAGATTACAATAAATAAGCAACTAAAAGTAGATATTAAACAATAAAAATAGTTGGAACAGTTAAAAGATGGGCATGGCAGCAATTAAATATTCAGCAATCCTAAAACTGGGAACAGTTGGGCCCCGGGCCAAGCTATAAAGATCTTATCAGTAGCAGCCTATCAGTAGCAGAAACTGCAGAAGGGAGGCCAATTAACGGACGCCCACTACCTCACCCGAAGGCCTGGCGGAACAGCTCCATTTTACAGGCCCTGCGAAACTGTACTAGGTCTCGCAGGGCCCTGATCTCCAGCGGGATCATGTTCCACCTGGCCCTGGTTGAAGCTAAGTGAACATCCCTCGGGCTGGGGATAACCAGCAGATGGTGGTCCGTGGTCCACGGAGCACAAGGCTCTCTGGGGCATATATGGGGAGAGGCAGTCCCTTAGATATGTCAGTCCCAGGCCACGTAGGGCTTTACAGGTCATAACCAGCAGCTTGAAGCAAATTTGGTACTCAACTGGTAGCCAGTGCAAGTGGCAGAGCACCAGCTGTATATGTGCCTGCACAGACATCGCAAACAACAGGGTGGATTAGCATTGTGCAGGGGGTTGGACTAGATGGCCCTGGAGGTCCCTTCCATGATTCTATGATCTTTGGTCTAAGATGCAGCATCTTTCATTAATACACTGCCTTCTGTTCAATGGAGAGAGACCCAAAGTGGCTTACATAGTTCCCCTCTCCTCCATGTGGCAGGAGGCCAAAGTCGTAGGGTTGCCAGCCTCCAGGTGGGGCCTGGAGATCTCCCGCTTTTACAACTGATCTCCAGCTGACAGAGATCAGCTCCCCTGGAGAAAATAGCTGCTTTGGAGGGTGGACTCTGTGGCGTTGTACCCTGCTGAGGCCCCTCCCCTCCCCAAGCCCCACCCTCTCCTGGATCCACCCCCAAAGTCTCCAGGTATTTTCCAACCCAGACCTTGCCGACGAAGTCTGGTTGGATTTCTGCCTGCCACCTGGCCTCTTTGGGAGGGACAGAACTGTGACTGTCAGCCTCCCTTCTGGTACAGTGCTTCGAAAGAACTGTGCCCTTTCTACAAAAACACCATAAACTATATTGGGTTTATAATATTTTTTGGATTGAGGGGTAGAGCTCCTGTGCCTTTCGAGTCTGTGTGGGAAGCATGAATCCAATGACAGTAGCCCCTTCCCCAGGCTGAAACAACTCTGGGGGAGGCTGCGCCAGTGGAGTTTCTGCCCAGTGCAGAATTTTAAAAGGATACCTGCCCCTTGTTGAGAGAGACCCAGCAATGCTCAGGCCTTTGCAGGACCATCTCTTGTCCCATCATATAAAATCTCCCTGGACCCTTGCTATGCTGGCAGAGTCCAAGGATCAAGCCAAACAGGGCCTTCGCAGTCTGGTTCCAACCAAGTTGACTCAGGTGAGCCCCTTCTGTTTAGTTCAACCAATGAGACTTTACTTCCTTTATCGATTCTGTAATCTCTTGCAAAATTATTCCTAAACCCATCGATTTCAGCTCTGCCGAGGATCACACACTTATTTGATTGGATGCAGTTTTATAATTCACTTTCATCTAAAAATACAATAAACCCACTATTAAAATGTGGCACCATGGTTAGAGCACTGGACTAGGTTCAGGCAGGCAGTCCTGGGTTCAAATCCCTACTTGCCATGAAGCTTCCTGGATGACCTTGGGTCACTCAGCTTTGTCAACTTCACAGGGTTGTGAGGAAAAAAATAGAGGAGAGGAGAATCATGTACCCTCTGCTGAGTTCCTTAGAAGAAACTTGAAGGAGGTGATCAAATATTTTTTAAAAAACATAATATAAAACAAGTGCAAAGTAACAGTAACTTGAAAGCATACTTTTATTTGCTTCATTTGTACTACACCTTTTATGTGACTGGGGACCCCAAACAGCTTCCATTGTAGTTTTCTCCTCCATTTTATCCTCACAACAGTCCCACAAGGTAGCTGAGCATGTGTGACTGGTCCAAGCTTCCGTGGCAGAGTGGAAATTCGAACCCAGGTCTCCCGCGTTCTAATCTGACATTTCAACCACTACCCATAAAGGATCTTTAAAAAGCACAGAAAAAGGCAGCTGGTTAGAAATAAATTTCCCTTGTCATGTACAAATACTAAATAGGAGTAGCAAACGCAGTAGTATATGCCTCAGTGTTTCGCTGTAACCTTTTTGTTTTATCGCTGCGATGTTCTAAATGGTTTTCGGAGTGTATTGCACTTTAGATTTTATGTGTTTTTAAAAAATTATGTAAGCCGCCCTGAGACTGCTTCGGGAGGAGGGCGGGGTATAAATCCAATAAACAAGCAAACTCCCCCCCCCCCATCGCACTCTCTGGGCGTCCTTAAACGCTGTCCGTCCAATGGGTTGCGGGGCTTTTGCTCCTCTGCCCCTGAACGTCGTTTACTCCGGATAAAAAGCGACATTCTGCCAAGGGCGAGAGCCCTGTGAACTGGACGGCAGAGGAAGTGCAAAGCGCTTCTCTCGTCTCAGCTCTTTTCAGCGAGATGTATTAAACACGACACTCGTCGGCTTCTCGGCATTTATCCCTCTTTACCAACAGCCCAAAAAAATCCTCTCCCCAGGCAGTCTCATAGGAACCGGAAGTAAAACAGAAACGGAGAACCTGTTCTAAAAGTATCTCTTTGGGGTGGGTTTGAGGCGCCGAGATGCGCATGCGCTTTGTTTTCCTCCGCCTTGCAGGGAGGACGAAGACAGCTCCAGAGGTAAGGGGGGGGGGGGTTTGCCAGCGGCTGAAGGAAGAAGAAGGGTGCGGGAGGACAGTGGGCTGCCTGGGTTTCCTTCCGCCCCCCGTATGTCTAAGGGAGGGGCTGGCTATGGCATCTGCATTCCGTTATCTAGGGGAAAACGCTCTGCATATGCTCAGGAGCACCGCCGCCTTCGTTGTTGTCCGCAGCATTAGTTACAGGATTGCAGTCTAGTGCTTCAGAGGGTGAACACTGGAGAAAAGAAATGTCGATCTTAGCAGATACAGTATTCCTTCTCTCCACGCAACGTGCACCGGACGGTATCCAATACAGTAAAGCAAACCGGGAGGACATTTAGCCGTTGCTCTTTGCACGGACTCAGGAGCATCCCTCCCCGATTCTAGAGCTTGGGAGGGAGTCAGTTGTCTGAACTTCTGATTTCTCAAGGTCGTGGCGGCTCCATTCCCGTTATCGCCGTCAGTGGTGTTTGTTCTCTATTTGATTGCAATCTCTTGTTTGAACTGGTCGGTGGAGATGATCTCTACTCTCTTTACTGATAACGTCAGCCCGTTTGGTAGGCAGCTGTCAGACAAGCGGGGCTGTCAGTCTAATGAATAGCAATATGACTCTCTGCATAATATGCCGTGAGTGGCGTCCAGTGAGACAGACTTGTGCACCCCCGAGGAAATCCAGCATTTGCACATGCTCTGAAGCATGCCTCGGGGTCTGAGGCTTGGGGTGATCAAGGGCCATCAGACCCTTGGGGAGGGGGACACCACATAGACCTCCAGGAACATCTTGGAGAAAGGGAGCCATCGGTAAAGGGATTCCCAAGGCAGACCTGGCAAGGGCCACCCTTGAAAATGAAACTTTGCTTCAGAGGAGCTCTTGCTCAGGTCTCTTTACAGGGAAACATGTTTTCCCACCAGGCACCCTGTCACAATTTGAACTCAGGCTCGCCAATCTTCAACTTTCAAGCGCCTGTTTGAAAGGAAGACCTAGCAAGGTTGAAGGGTGTCTTTGAGCAAAGAAGTTCCCCTGACGCTGAATAACCACCCTTCTCCGAGAAAGAAAGACTCGGGGTCTGGTTCAAGGTATTTCGTGGCCCCAAACCAAGGATACTCGGCCCTTCCTTGGTCCATGCTTTTGCAGGCTGGGTTCAAGCTGAGGAAGGGTGTGCATCTGGCTGGCAGCAGTGCAGGCCGAGGAGGGAATGCTCTCCTTTCCCTTGCAGATGGGAGGGAGCTGGGCCCCCTGAAGAAGCGGTTCCCCCTTTGTTGCTCTTTCCCAAGCAGCCATCTGGGTGACTTGACCAGAGAACCCACCCAGGAGCCGCTCTCTGGGCCAGTGTTGATCTCCCATTCCCAAATCTTCCGAACAAAGTAGGGAAGTTCACACAACCCTTTAGGCAAAACAGTGGAGAGAACTTTATGCATAGTTTCTCTTTTCCTACCCCTCCTTAAGTGAGTCTTATGCATTAAATTCACACTCCATGATGACTATAATTGCTTGTTTCTGCTGGCAGCAGAATCTTTTGCAAACAAAAGAGGGCTTGCTTTGGTCCTTCTTTTTGGGGGGTTTCCCTTTGGCTCTGAAATTGCCGTTCCCGGCTCATCTAATGCAGTAAGTAGTGCCTTTTCCACTGGATCAAGGCACCAGTTGGTCTGGTACTGCTGGAAGCCAGTTGATCTCTGTGTATGGTCTTCCGCCCTCTTTCATGGCCTTTTCGTTTCACATTACCTGAGATGCGATTCAGGGATTGCACCCTTCCGTTTGCATTGCAGAAACAGGAGTCTTCTCTAGATCGAGGCTGAGGTAAAGGAAGGCTTCAGAACAGCTGCCGCTTTCACTCTGTCGATTTCCTTGGGATAGGATTTCCTAGCCTGGCCTCCTGGGCGTTCTGGGTTCTTGCTGGGTGACCAAAATGGACAGTTAATTATTTGATTATACACCCCCCCCCGTCAGATTTGTTTTTGGCAGGCATAAACATAATTTGAATCGTCCATCTGAGGGGGCTTCACCCCATCCTGGCCAAGAGCAGAGATATGGGGGAGAAATGAAAAATATGAGGAAGAAAGTCCTGAAGAGGACTTCTTTTGTTGTTTGATTTTCCTCACTGAAAAACTGGAAATTTCAAGGAGCACTGAAAAAAAACAACCCTATGAAAAATTTTCTCCTTCGGGTTGAGTGTAGGGCTTTCAGGACCAGGTGCTAGTCAAAATGTGTAGTATGAAGATTTTTATATAAGACATTCTTCTCAATATTCAATAATGAGGATTCCTGTGTATACTCCAAAATATGTATTCCTGTGTATTCTCCAAAATATGCTCATTGCTTATATGTGACTAATTTTGTCCCTATTTATTTAGTAAGTTTTTTCCTACTTTTCCTCCAAAGGAACTCAAGGTGGCATACAATATTTCCCCCATCCTTCATTTTATCCTCACAACAACCCTGTGAGGTAAGTTAGGCTGAGAATGTGTGACTATCCCAAGCTCACGCTCAGCCAGCTTCCATGGCAGAGCAGGGATTCGAACCTGGGTCTCCCAGTCCTAGCCCAGCACTCTGACCACCGCACCACACCGGTTCTCACCAGCTACCATGCTATAATGTGTATGGCGAAAGTGCAGTGTTGAATTCAATGTTTATATCCTAATATTATATTATAAAAGTTTATATCCTGATATTTATTGATATTTCTTATAAGATGTGTTATTTATTTATTTTATTTATTAAATTCAATGTTTATACTGCCCATTCCCTGAAACATGCCTCAGGGTGGTGTACGATGACATACTAAAACAACATATCATATCGTTAGAAACGTTTTAAAATGACAATAACATTCTGGTATCAGTTCAAAATTAAACAGATGGTGTTCAGAATCTCCAGTTGTGCTGCTACCGCCTTGCAGGAGGAGGACAGGGTGTGAGTGCTAGCCAGATGGACTCAACCAAAGGCCTGTCCTCAACCAAAGGCCTGTCCTCAACCAAAGGCCTGTCTTCAACCAAAGGCCTGTCCTCAACCAAAGGCCTGGCAGAACATCTCTGCCTTACAGGCCCGGTGGAACTGCATCAGGTTCTGTAGGGCCGAGATGTTACCTGGCAGAGAGTTCTACCGGGTTGGGGCCAGGGTACTAAAAGCCCTGCCCCTGGTCAAGGACAGCCAGATAGCTCCTGGGCTGTGGACCACTAACAAGTTCTTATCAGCTGAACGTAATGCCCTTCAAGCGGTATACCTGGAGAGGCGGTCCCAAAGATATGTGGACCCCACATGTGTGTTAAGTGCTATCAAGTCGCTTCTGACCTATGGTGACCCTATGAATTAACATTCTCCAGATATAATAAATAAACATGAAATATATGTCAAGCCACACCTGGAGTACCGTGTGCAGTTCTGGAGGCCCCACTTCAAAAGGGATGTGGTCAGAATGGAGCAGAAGAGAACAACAAAGATGATCAGGGGCCTGGAGACCAAGGCCTATGAGGAAAGGCTGAGGGACTTGGGAATGTTCAGTCTGGAGAAGAGGAGGGAACATGATTGCTCTTGGCAGCAGAAGATGGGACTCATTTAATGGGTTTAAATTACAGGTGTAAAAGCACCAGCTGGATATTAGGAAAAATCTTTTTGCAGTAAGAGTGGTACAGCAGTGGAATTTGTTGCCTAGGGAGGTGGGGAGCTCCTTGTCATCACTGGCAGCCTTCAAGCAGCGGCTGGACCGACATTTGTCAGGGATGCTCTAAGCCAGGTATGTCCAACAGGTAGATCGCGATCTACCAGTAGATCGCAGAGGGGTCAGAGGTAGATCACCAGCCCCACTTGGTCTCTTGGTTTGCTGGACAGGTGTTTGGGTTTTTTTGATGATTGTTTGGTGGTATTTGATTATTGGTGCCAGTATGATGAATTCTTATTTTTACTTTTAGAACTGCATGTGTGGGGTTTTTTTGGGGTGTGGAACCGAACTTTAGTAGGTTAAAATCTAATTTGAAACTAATTTGAAACTTTATTTTCATGGTGGTAGATCACCGGCACTTTTGGCCGGAAAAAATAGATCACTACCTGTTCAAAGTTGGGCATGCCTGCTCTAAGCTGATCCTGCACTGACCAGGGGGCTGGGCTAAATGGCATCTATGCCCCCTTCCAACTCAGTCATTCTATGGTTGGTTGATTGATTGATGAATCCTATCTTTTCATCCAATGTAGGGGGCAAGCAAGCTTTAGAACACAGATAGCAGGGGACAGAAGAAAGTCCCTGGGATGGGGGTTCCACATTTTTGGGGCCACGGCTGAGAAATATTCAGCTGTATGGGGATGCTTCTGTCTAAATCATTCACTTCTTGTTTGCTATAAAATCTGTGTTTCAGCTTCTGGTTTTTCTTAGATAGCAAAAACTAAAGTATGTATGCTAGGATAGTGTCGAGCAATGTTCCCTCTAAGCTGAGTTAGTGTGAGCTAGCTCGCAGTCTTTTAGCCTCTGGCTCACACATTCTTGTCTCAGCTCAGGAAGGAGGGCTCCAGAGCAAATTAATTTATGCAGCAGCCAAATCGCTCGCTCACAACTTTAATGCCAGTAGCTCACAAAGTAGAATTTTTCCTCACAAGATTCCACAGCTTAGAGGGAGCAGTGGTGTTGAATGTAGTGGTTTGAAGCTGTCTCTTCAGCTACTGGGAATTTTCGCAGTATTGCCTGTCAAGAAATAATAAAGCATTTGTACTTCTAAACCAGGGGTGACCAAACTTGCTTAACGTAAGAGCTACACAGAATAAACGTCAGATGTCCGAGAGCCGCAACTAGACATGAACAAATATTACACACAGGTTTTTATTGAAAAATAGGCAAATTTGCTTTTTACTAGTAACTTTAAACGAGACTGTCAAAAATAAAAAACAAAAGGGGTAACAATAGATATTGATAGTGATAGTTATTTATCCAATGATATTTGTAGGCTGGGGGGTGGGCTTTGAGAATGCATTTAAGTTGCTCCCTTTCTGTGCTCCCCCCCACCTCAAGCCTACCCAGGGAGGGGAACACTGGCTGGGGAAGGGAAAACCGATCGGGGAGGCATGCCTGCCCTTTGCTTCCCCAGCCGCCCTGCTGGGAGCCACACGGTATGTGTGAAAGTGCCACATGTGGCTCCTGAGCTGAGGTTCCATGCCTGTTTTTGTAGCAGGAACTCCTTTGCATATTAGGCCACACCCCCTAATGTAGCCAATCCTCCAAGAGCTTACAGAGCTCTTCTTACAGGAGCTACTGTAAGCTCTTGGAGGATTGGCTACATTAGTGGTGTGTTGCTTAATATGCAAAGGAGTTCCTGCTACAAAAAAGAGCCCTGCGAGGCTGTTCTAAACTTTGGAAATCTGCCAACTCATACCATATTAGATCCTAAGTTATAAATTAGGCATTCTTTGCTCTTAAAGCAGTAAGGTTACGTTTACCTTTAGTAAGAAAGTAAGTATTGCATATATTTTAACTCCCTGTCCCCCAACTGTTTGCTTTTCTACATGTGTGAGGCAAAGCACCCCTGACCCCCCTCAAGGGTTAATGTGAGTAGTAATGGGCTTGTCCCATCCCGCAGGTGTTAGTAATTGGTCTCTCGGCCTACACAGCCCATATCATCTTCAAGGCCGGAGTTGGAAATGTGGTAATTAGCTTCTCATGAGAACCTGCAACCCATAGGATGGAAGGGGAGGGATGAGGGGTGGTGAGGTAATTTTCTAGAGGGTTCCAGCAAGAACTTGTCCTGATTGGGTGTCATCATCACCTGATGCTGCTTAGCGAAAAAAACTATAATTGAGCTAAGAGCCCGGAAAGAGGAGGCTAGCTTGGATTCTGATGGACTGAAGGCCCGGACTATGGTATACTTATAGTGCAATGTAGCAAATGCAGAAACTGTGGCCTTTGACTCATAGACTTAAGCTGCCATTTCACACATGGCTTTCCCCTTATGGTAAAGAGCTGGATCTGAAGCGGTTTGCCATTTCAGACTGCACCACTTTTCCCCGCTGTTTTTTGCCCGCGTGGGCGATCTCCGGCTTTTTAAAAAACGTTCGCTTTAGAGCGCTATAGTGCTATAACACAACACTCCAGGCATTCCAATGGGGTTGTTATGATGCTGTTTCGTTATAGTATTATAACGCTATAATGCTATAAAGCGAATGTTAAAAAAAAGCGGGCAAAAAACGGTGGGAAAAAGTGCATCGGAACCAGGAGAGGAAACTGAAGACTACTTGGAAGCAGTTGAAAGGTAAAACGCTTCAGCCCCGTTTCCTAAACGGGACAGAAGCGTTTGTGTGTGAAATTACAAATATATTCCAGTAGGGAACCGGTTCTAAAATGGTTCTGTCTGAAATGACAGACAAGAAACCATTTGGGAACCGTTCCTCTTCCGGATTATATCGTCTGTCTGAAATTCCTCAAGGTTTGTGCCATCTAATGCAGAACTTGGATGTGTGTTAGATAGTTAAGCTAGTTTTCTTGGGGGGGGGGGTTGCTGTGTGATTTTAGCGTATTGAGTCACCTGTAGTTTATACCTTTTGTTTTGACAGAAATGAAATAAAACTTCATGTAATTTTAAAAATGACAAAGGGTTTGGATTACTTGCGTACAACAGCCTTGGACTCCTTGACAGCATGGCTTCGAAACTTCCAAAAATTTGACAGCGCTACTTAATGTTAAATGTGTGTTACAACCAAAAGTAGTGTTTTGCCAGATTGTGACATGGTTGAGAAAGCGGTTGAAAATCTCGTGTTAATGGGAACCCACTAAAAAAATAAGTTTTTTAACTTCACTCTAGATCCTGTGTCCCTAGCCGGTTGAAATTTGCAGTGGTCCTACCATGGGGAACACCACCAGTGAGCGGATGTCTGGGGAGCGCCACGGTTCGAAGTCTCACCGCTCCGATGGCGCCAGCAGTGCCCACCACACCAAGGACCACTCGCACAAGATCATGGTGGGCAGCACTGATGATCCGAACGTCTTCAGTACCCACGACTCCAAGGTACAGGTTGGACTTAAGCCTGATCCTTCTGCTGCGGTCACATTGTGCTGCTTGGCTATCTGCCTTCCTAAGCACTTAGTTAGGGCACGGTGCTGATATGTGTTAGTTTTGCTGTGAATTCATGGACTTCGGCTTTGTATGTAGCTGAGCCTCACACTGAGTACTGCGTCTTACTCATTCACATTGTGTACTGAAGCTTGATTCTCCAGACGGTGGCTTTCTACTTAAGTGAACCCATATAATGTAGAGGGGAGGGGAAGGGACGTGGTGTAACACAGGGATCTCCCATGTGGTGCCCAGGGGTGTCATGCAATATTCCCTCTAATCCCCCCCCACACTGAGCGGAGCAGTTCACATACTGAGCAGAAGGTAACTGCTGTAATCTGAAAATGTAAACAAACGAAGCGCAGACTGATAGAACAAAGCGCTTGAGCGTTATCAAAGTATATTATAACATAGGTAAAGGTTCCCTTGCTCGAAAACCAGTCGAATCCGACTCTAGGGTTGCGGTGCTCATCTCTGTTTCAAAGCCGAAGAGCCAGCGCTGCCCGAAGACGTTTCCGTGGTCATGTGGCCGGCATGACTAAACACCAAGGCGCATGGAATGCTGTTACCTTCCCACTACTTGCAATTTCTTGCTTTCGAACTGCTAGGTTGGCAGGAGCTGGAACTAGAGACGGGAGCTCACCCCGTCATGCGGCACTCGGGTCTTGAACTGCTGAACTACCGACCTTCCACAGCCTGCAGTTCAGCATCTTACCCACTTGAGTCACCACAGCTCCTATATTATAACAAACAACAATATTAAAGCAGATAGTAAAGGTAAAGGTTTCCCTTGCTTGAAAGCCAGTCGAATCCGACTCTAGGGTTGCTGCGCTCATCTCCGTTTCCAAGCCGAAGAGCCAGCGCTGTAAGAATGGTAAGTTTCAGGTGAAGGTGAACTTCTATCAAAATGCAAGTGAATCCGACAAAAATCTCCAGAGAGACTCTTCATTTCGTCTCTTCATCAGAAAAATTCCTATGCTTGTCTAGTTTCATTCATACCACAGTTTGACATATCATATACAAATCTTCTCCTGGTTTTTCTACCATAAATACATTCTTAAAACAAACGTTTCACCGGGCGTGACTTAGTTCATGATGCAAAGTGCCTCAGGAGAAGATTTGTATATGATATGTCAAACTGTGGTATGAATGAAACTAAGCTAAGCAGGATCATTACTTGGATGGGAGGCTGCCAAAGAATACTCTGCAGAGGAAAGCTACGGCCAACCACCTCTGCTTCTCGCTTGCCTTGAAAGCCCCTTACTGGGGTCGCCACATAAGTCAGTTACAACTTGACGGTACTTACGTATGTATATTGTAGATCCCTAGAGTGTATTGTGCCTTTTCTAAGAGAGCAGGCCTGCACAGAAAATAATCACATGGGTAATTTTTATTTATGATCGCCTTTGCCCTTAACTCTGTGAGCCTCCAGAAATAGCTTGGGTGAGAGGAGAAGGCAAAGTTTCCCTCATGGCTGTGGAGCCCAAAGAGGGATTAGCTGTTCCTTGTGGAACTAGAAAGGAGTCTGCTGCCTCCTTGAGCAAGGCTTAAGAAAGTATCAAGTGTCTGATCACGGGTGCACCTGATATTCTGATGCCAGTATCAAGGAAGTATTTCTCTGCCCCCTCCCCCCCTCTTGTGTGGAGGGCTGGAGCCAGTATGGTTTAGTGGCTAAGAGCCGCGAACTCTAATCTGGAGAACCGGGTTTGATTCTCCACCCCTCCTCTACATGGAGCCAGCTGGGTGACCATGGGCCAGTCACAGCTCTTTCAGAACTCTCTTAGCCCTTAGCTGAAGGAGGTGTAGTTCTGAATAATCCATATTACCAAAATCTCTTTTATTTCTAACGAATTAAAGACCCAGTTTTTATTGTAATTACTAAAATACTTTTTTAGCACTTTGTAATACGTAAGATCAGTAATGCTCTGACACACTCGAGTGATACTGATTGTAACCGTAGCTATATTATCTTTGTTACTGAAAAGTTATAACTGAATAACATTTAAATGGGGGGGAAAGAACACTCTCAGCCCCACCTACTTCATAAGGTGCCTGTTGTGAGGAGAGGAAGGGAAGGAAATTATAAGCCGCTCTGAGTCGGGTTGCCATTGGATTGGGGGCGGGGTTTTTCCTCCTTTCGGGTCCTCCAGTCTGCTGTGAACCAACTGGCGGGTGGGGGGAGCCCCGTTCCCAAGAGCCCCATTGCGCCCAAAGTGCCCACAGCAATGTGAGAAAGAATTTCCTCATGAGAAAGAATTTGAGTCCTGGCAGACTGATTTGGATGACTCCGGGTGACGTCATCACACCGGGCATGTTGTGTGGGGGACACTCTAGTATTTGGGTAAAAACTCTGTGGTGACCATAGAGTTTGTTTACTCAAATGCTAGAGCGCCCCCGAACGATATGCCTGGCATAATAAGGTCACTTCCGGATGATACCACTGTGGCACGTGTGCAAAGCGCGCACAGCAGAAGACCCCAGGAGCCAGGCTGGATCCCTCCGCCGTGACTCAGGTAAGACCTGGCAACCAGTGTTCCCTCTAAGCTGAGTTAGTGTGAGCTAGCTCACAGTTTTTTAGCCTCCAGCTCACACATTTTTGTCTCGGCTCAGGAAGGAGGACTCCAGAGCAAACTGATTTATGCAGTAGCCAAATCGCTTGCTCACAACTTTAATGCCAGTAGCTCACAAAGGAGAATTTTTGCTCACAAGACTGCGCAGCTTAGAGGGAACATTGCTGGCAACCCTAGCTCTGAGACTCCTTAAGGTAGAGAAGGCAGAGTCTAAAAGCCAACTCTTCTTCTTCTTCTTCCTGTTGCAGCTTCCTTGTGAGAAAGAATTCGTGTCCTGGCAGCCTGATTTCGATGACCCCACCAAGCCATCCCAGCAAGCTCGGCCTACCGTCATCCGCTGGACTGAAGGAGGCAAGGAAGTCTTCATCTCGGGATCCTTCAACAATTGGAACACTAAGATTCCTCTCATTAAAAGGTGAGGAAGGGTGACGTGCAATGCTCCCTCTAAGCTCTGGAGCTGTAGCTATGGACGAGTGAATGCAAGTGCTGGAAAGGCACAGAACACAGCATTGACAGCAAATTTCAATTTCCTGAGGATCTCAGATGTCATTTTCAACAGCAACAACAACAAAAGCAAACTGTTTTCTAAACTTCAGGGCCACAGGGCAAGTACTGTAGGTTTGCTGCTTGATTACTGTGCACAGTTCAGTCAGTTTGACTGTGCCAGCATTCAGTGTACCGGCTGGATAGAGTGATCCATCAGTAGAAAATGCTGACAGTCATGGATCTTCTCGCGCATTCCCCTCCACCCAGCAGTCTTTTTGGATCCAGGAAAAGTTAATTTCTGTCATTGCAAGGGCCCATGTGGGGTAATTGCCACACCGGTCAGGATGTTGCAGTTGGGGGCAATGTTCCTTCTAAGCTGCGGAGTCTTGTGAGCAAAAATTCTACTTTGTGAGCTACTGACATAAAAGTTGTGAGCAAGTAATTTGGCTACTACATAAATTAGTTTGCTCTGGAGCCGTCCTTCCTGAGCTAAGACAAAAATGTGTGAGCCGGAGGCTAAAAACATGTGAGCTAGCTCACACTAACTCAGCTTATTTATTTATTTATGTTTATTTATTTATTTATATTTGAATTTATATCCCGCCCTACCCCGAAGGCTCAGGGCGGCTAACAAGAGCACCATGCGCTGAGGTTAAAACAGTAAACACATAGTTTAAAAACAATAACTTACAATAAAATACAATAACAAATTTACAAACAGATTTAGACAAGATGGGTAGATCTTAACTTCCAAACTACTTCCTAAGGTCTTATCATCTAAGCCATGCCCAGGCGCCTCGCTCCCCCCTTGGGGGGCCAGGCAATCATGATGTTAATACGCCAGAGCATAGGGGGCAAAGGTGGAATAGTGGTGGCGGCGGCTCCTACTCAAAGGCCTGGCGGAAGAGCTCCGTCTTGCAGGCCCTGTGGAACTGAGAGAGGCCCCGCAGGGCCCGGATCTCTTCCGGGAGCTTAGAGGGAGCACTGGCTGATGTGATGTGTGCCTTTTGTGCAAACTATGTGGGTACCTGTCAGGGAGGAGGAATCACTCCTTTCTTTCCTAGATAAACCAAGCACTGTCTAGAACAGGGGTCTCCAACGTGGTGCCTGTGGGCGTCATGGTGCTCGCTGACACTTTTCCTGGCTCCTGCCAAGTGTTTGTAGAAAGTGGGTGGGGGTCGGTGGGGCTTTGGCCCAGCAAGGCTTCTGGGTGGCCACTGGCGATCTGATTGGTTGTGCAGATTTTTAAAATGTTGCTTTGGCGGCAGCTGCCTCCACAGCACAAGGATCTTCACCGTGTGACTGAAAGGAAGCTGTGGCGGCCATTTTGTAACTGGCTCCGCCTCCCACAGCAGCCTGATCTTGTCAGATCTCAGAAGCTAAGCCGGGTCAGCCCTGGTTAGTACTTGGATGGAAAACAATTACGGAAGACCACGGTTTCAGCAGAGAGGCAGGGAATGGCACACCCCCTCTGAACATCTCTTGCCTTGAAAAGTTGATGGGGTCGCCATAAGTTGGCAGTAGCCCCGACCTGGGTAGCCCAGGTTAGCCTGATCTTGTCAGACCTCAGAAGCTAAGCAGGGTGAGCCCTGGTTAGTACTTGGATGGGAGACTATCATGGAAGTCCAGGGTTTCTGCACAGAGGCAGGGAATGGCCCACCGCCTCTATGTGTCTCATAAGAACATAAGAGAAGCCAATGTTGGATCAGGCCAAAGGCCCATCCAGCCCAACACTCTGTATCCCACAGTGTCCAGAAATACCAGGTGCCATCAGGAGGTCCACCAGTGGGGCCAGGACATTAGAAGACCTCCCACTGTTGACCCCCCCCCCCAAGCACCAAGAAGACAGAGCATCACTTGCCCCAGAGCCCCTATCTATACCTTGTGGCTAATAGCCACTGATGGACCTCTGCTCCATATGCTTATCTAATTCCCCTTTGAAGCCGTCCATGCTGGTAGCCACCGCCACTTCCTGTGTCTCTTTCCTTGGAGACGCCACGGAGCCGATGGCCCTTCCCATCCTCACATGCCCGGGAACCATGTTTCCTCCTGGGTCCCATCTGGAACTCCTGGACCACATCTGTGTACCGTACCAAGGGGAGTACCAGGGGAAAGCGCACAGTATACTTAGGACACCCAGGGGATGCTGTTTGGGTTGCTGCTTAAAGCAACTGGGCCATCCCCGCTTGTTTTCCAGACTGCCAGGCCGGTAGCTCCTGTTTGGCTGCCCAGGCAGAGCACCTCTTTCATTCTCCTCTAGGCCACCCCTGCCCCTGGCATTTGCAAACATCACAATACAGAGAGAATTATCACCCTGCACACCCACCTGTGCTCACTGTTCCTTCCCCTTTCCCACCTTCTCGTCGCCTCCAGCTAGAGTGGGGCAGGTATCGCCATACAAGGTGTAGCCGTTCAAGAAGACGAAGAGGCCGGTGCAGCTGAATTGCAGCACTTGGAATCCGAAGCTGTCGCCGATCACTCCAAGCGCATGCTGCTTTGCGCAGCTTTGCTTCCTTTCTGAGGATCTTTCTGAGAACATTTGCACTGTGCGGCTTGCGTATTTTCCAAGAAGGATAGCAGGATGCTTTCTCTGAGGCAATTCTTGGTATCAGCCAGCATGGCATAGTGATGTCATCAGAGGTTGATTCGGGGGGGATCGCGGGGGATCGCAGTTCCCCCGGGTGAGGTGTGGGGGGCGGGGCACATGACGAAGCCCCGCCCCGCTTCCAGCCCTCGTTCAGCCAGGAGGAGGGGGGAGAAGGGGGGGGGTAAGTTGCTCCCCCCCCGCCTCTCCCCACCCCTGCCTGCCTGGGGCCAGGGAGGGCCTTGGCGGGGCTTCCTCGCAATCCCGCCGACCTTGCAGGTCCACCGCCGGGCCCCTGATGTCAGGGGGTGTGACATATGCTAATGAGTTATGCTAATGAGTTCCCCTAGCTCTTTTTCTACGAAACTACCCCTGGATGTCATACTAGCATCTGAGAGAGCTGGATTCAAATGCTCCGCAGAAGCTTGCTTGATGACCTCAGGCCAGTCACTCTCTTTCAGCCTATCCTACCTCACATGTGTCTGCTGTGCTGCCATTGTATGTGGAGGGGGAAGGGAATCTGTGGAGTGAGCATCTTATTGTTCTGGATTGTTAGCTTTCACTTTTCACACTAGGCCTTCTCTTTTTGCCTGACCTTGATGCTTTGCACTCTCGCCTTCCTGGGAACCTGTAGTTGTTACTTTCCACACGCAAGGCTTGCACCTCTGATTGGCTTGACCCCATCAGAGGGCCTCCACTTCAAACGCAGTATATCTTCCCCTCTCCCGCCTGTTGGGTTAGCCTTTACACAGAATGTATGCACAGATGACGACCTGCTTCTACTGAACTCAATAAACTTGATCCTTTGGAAGGAACGTTGTTGAGCCTGATTTTGTGGGACTCTGACGACAGGCAATGCTCCCTCTAACTGTGGAGTCTTTTTTTTTTTTTTTTAACAGTTTTATTTAAGTTTTTCCATAGATATACAATCATTACATTTATATTGTCAACATATCTATTGTCTGAGTCTATTACAAATTGTTATTTTCTATCCATTTGTAAAATTCTGCCCATCTTTCTTTAAACACCTTATCGTCCTTCCCTTGCAAAATAAGTGTTAATCTATCCATTTCTGCGACCTCCATTACTTTCTCTACTATTTCATTTCTCTTTGGTATCTTTTCTTGCTTCCAGTATTTAGCAATTAAGATTCTAGCTGCTGTGAGCATATATGTTATTACATAGTAGTTTTTTCCTTTATGTTCATTTGGAATAATATTTAAGAGGTAAGTCTCCGGGTATAGTTTTAGAGTTATATGCAGCACTTCTGATATCAAATCCTTTACATTTTCCCAAAACTTATACATTTTTTCACAGTTCCACCACATATGGAGAAACGTCCCTACATTGGATTTGCATCTCCAACAATTCTTATTTGCATTTTTATATGCTTTGGATAACTTTTCTGGGGTCCAGTACCATCTATGGAATATCTTGAATATGTTTTCCTTAAATGTTACTGCCCTCATTAATTTCATTGATTTCCAAGATTTCACCCACTCCTCGTTTTGGATAGTTTTACCCAAATCCTTCATCCAAAGAATCATAACATTTTTTATGTTTTCTTCAAAAAGATAATCGTCAAGGAGAAAGGAGTATGTTTTTTGAATGAGTTTATCATTTGTGGATAACCATATTTTATCCAATTCAGTTTGGGTGTTTACAAATTCCCCGTTTTTATCTTTGTTATATCTATCTTGAACTTGCATTTTCTCCCACCAAGTTAAGTAAATATTTTTGTCTATTAATCTTTCCAGAGGTCTTAGTTTATTTTCTTCATCTAATAATACATCGTACGATATAGCTTTTTCTTTTGTCATTAATTTTGTGTTGATGAATGCCTCAAGGGGGGACACCCATCTTGGAATTTTCTTATAAAATCTATATTTCATTTCTTTCCACACCTTTATTAATGCCGCTCTAATGATGTGATTGTGGAAGTTGGAGTGTATTTTATCTTTTTCGTACCATAGGTACGCATGCCACCCCATGTAAAGATCGTGGCCTTCCAAGTATAATGTTCTCCAATTTTTTAACTGAATCCAATCTTTGATCCACACCATTGCCGCAGCTTGGAAATATAGTTGCCAATTCGGTAGTCCCAGTCCACCTCTCTCTTTTTTATCTTGTAATATCTTTAACTTGATTCGAGCTCTTTTTGGATGCCAGATAAAAGGTCTTATTAATTTATCCAAGTCCAAAAAATATTGATTTTTTTTCAATATTGGGAGATTTTGTGCTAAAAATAAAAAACGGGGAAGAATATTCATCTTGATCGTTGCGATCCTTCCCATTAATGATAGCTGGAGGTCTTTCCATTTTAGTAGATCTTTCTTTATTTCTTCTCTCAATTTATTGTAGTTATTTTCTATTAGCATACTGTTCCTGTTTGTTAGCGTTACTCCTAAATATTTCACTTTGTTTACTATAAGCAGATTCGTCAAGGTTTGTAATTCGTTTTCTATTTTTTGCGGACAGTTTTTGGTTAAAATCTTTGTCTTTTTGTAATTTATTTTAAGACCAGCTACGCCTCCGTACTCCTCAATTTCTTTTAATAGGCTTATAACAGTTGTTGTCGGGTATTCTATGATGAAGACTAAGTCGTCGGCAAACGCTTGTAGTTTATATTCTTCATCTTTGATTTTCAGTCCTTTTATTAGTGGATTTTTCCTTATATTATCGTTTAACGATTCTAATATAAAGATGAATAGTAACGGTGATAGCGGGCAACCTTGTCTGGTACCTTTCTGAATTTCAATTTTTTTGTTATCTCACCGTTTACAACAATGCTTGCTTGCTGTTTTGTATAGATTGTTGATATCATATTCATGAAGTCGTTTCCGCACTCCCATGTCTTCAATTTTAATTTTAGAAAGTCCCATGATACATTATCAAATGCTTTTTCAGCATCTAAAAAAATTAGCGCCATTTGTTTCTCAGGATGTTCTTCATAATATTCAAGTATATTTATAACTGTTCTTATGTTATTTTTCATCTGCCTTTTTGGTAGGAAGCCCGCTTGGTCTTGATGTATCTCTTGTTGTAGCACTTTTTTGAATCTCGCTGCAACAATACTTGCAAAAATTTTATAATCTGCGTTAAGTAGAGAAATCGGTCTATAATTTTGTATCTCTTTTTCGTTTGTGTCCGGCTTGTGGATCAATGATATGATGGCATCTTCCCATGATTCTGGCATAATTGCATCTTTTGGTATCTTTTGGAGTACTTCTTTGAAAGGTATTAGGAGTTGGTCTTCGAACTTTTTGTATACTTCAACAGGAATTCCGTCTGGGCCAGCTGCTTTGTTTATTGTTTATTTTTTAACTGTGGAGTCTTGTGAGCAAAAATCCTACTTCGTGAGCTGCTGGCATTAAAGTTGTGAGCGAGCGATTTGGCTACTGCATAAATTAGTTTGCTCTGGAGCCGTCCTTCCTGAGCGAAGACAAAAGTCTGTGAACTGGAGGCTAAAATACTGTGAGCTAGCTCACACTAACTCAGCTTAGAGGGAACGCTGCTCACAGGGCTGTTGCTGCGAGGATAAAATGGAAAGGTATGATGTTGTAAGCTGTTTTGGATCCCCATAGGGAAGAAAAGCAAGGCAGAACAAATTAAAAAAATAAAATAACAAACCTTCCATGCAACGTTCCCTCTAAGCTGTGGAGTCTTGTGAGCAAAAATTCTACTTTGTGAGCTACTGGCATTAAAGTTGTGAACGAGCCATTTGGCTGCTGCATTAATCAGTTTGCTTTGCAGCCATCCTTCCTGTGCTAAGACAAAAATGTGTGAGCCAGCGGCTAAAGAACTGTGAGCTAGCTCACACTAACTCAGCTTAGAGGGAACACTGCTTCCATGTACATTTTGATGACCCACCCAACTCTTTCCGCTTCTACATGAGAACAGCCTTGTGGATTCCTTTTCTCACCCCCCCCCAGCTGTTTAAGTTGGTTTTCATGCAACGTTTCCTTCTTCCCGCTTTAGGGTTGCCAGGTCTGAACGACATTGTTGGTGGGGGGCTTACTAGGACACTCTAGGAGAAGGGAGGGAAGAAGCACGCCATGCCTGCGTCATCTCTGGGTAACATAGGCACGTTGAGTTAGTGACGTAGGCATGTTGGGGATGTCAGGGGTGACACTCTGGTTTTTGGGCAAAACTCTATGGTTTGAAGCTAATTCTACCACAGAGTTTTGCCCAAAACGCAGAGTGTCCCCCACCCCACCCCGACATCACTGATGTGCCTGTGTCACTTCTGGGTGATGTAGGCACATCGCGTTTGGGGCGGTAACTCTCTCCCACCGGCCAGCTAGCCAGTGCTGGGGTAGGGAGTGCCAGAAACCCACGCGCACCAAGGGGACCTGGCAACCTTGTCCTCCTTTGCAGTTTATGTCCTGCTTAGGCTATGAAGATACCCCCTTCGCTTGCTTAGAATTATTTGCTACGTGGCTCCTTTGGTTGCTCGCGCCCGTGTGGCTGGTCTTGAGCACTGGACACTGTCACCCTAGCCTTCGTGTGTTGCAATTAACGTTTTCCTCTCCTTTTAGCCACAATGACTTTGTTGCCATTCTGGACCTGCCGGAAGGAGAACACCAGTACAAGTTCTTTGTGGATGGTCAGTGGGTTCACGACCCCACCGAGGTAATGCCTTTTTATCCGTGCATGTGTGTGTTTGTTTCACATTACTGAGAGACCTTTCTGCCCTTCACTATATTTTCAGCCAGTGGTTGGGATAGGACCAGGGGAGGTTTGGTTGTCCTAATGTTGGCTGCACTTGCTTGGAACACTCCATGTACACCTCCAAAGTTATGGAGATAATGCCAGACAGAAGCCATTTTGGCTTGGGGAGAAGGCATGAGGTGAAGGCAGGAGCCCTCTCCTGCCCCTGCACAGCTGTCTTGAGCTAAATTGGCTTCAAGAGTGATGTTTGCCACTGCTGTTACATGACTGAGGTAAAAGCGAGCTTGCCCAGACGCAGCATGCCTGAGGTAAAAGCGAGCTTGCCCAGACTCAACTCATTAAAAAACATATTGTGTTGTTTGGCCTTTAGTAGGGCCTCTTAGTACAGCTGTGAACAGTAGGACGTTTGGAGGACATTAATTCATAGGGTCTCTGTATGTCGGAAGCGTCTGACAACACAACACACACACACTCTTCACACATTATGGATTATGCTGGTTGGGTCTGGGGTCTCCACCACTGTCAGTCATAAACACAATCACATGGGGGTTGTGGGTTCCCCTCAGTTCTCATTTCTGAGCACTTACCCAGTTCAGTGGGGATTCTTTGTCATGGATGTGGTGGAGCATCCGTGTAAGTGCCCCCCCCCCTGTTGCCGCTACAGGGAAGGGAGGTGGGCTACACTCTGGGTGCGTTCAGACGGGGCATTTACAACGGTATAGGTGCCGGTTGGAATTGGTGTACTTACCGGCGTTCACACGGCGAACATCTGCCTTCTGTCCCTAACCATTGCAAAGAGCTTTAAACCGTTGTATTCTGCCACTAGGTCCCCAAGTGGTGGTATCCTGAGTGCAACGGTTGTAATTGCTTTACCCCCCGTCTGATCGCTCTCCACCGTTGTAGAGCCACTTTCGTTCGGAAGCCCGAGGCTTCCGATTTTCGCCCGCCATTTTTTTTTTTAGGTTGGCAATATGTGCTTGGGCGAAGCTTCGCCCCGGCGTTTTTTTAAAAAAAAAAAAAAAAGGTCCTTAGTTTAACGTTTTAGAGGAGTTCGGGACCTCAGGGAGGCCAGTTTGCTCTTTAAACTTTAAAGGTAAGTCCTCTCTTCAGGGCATGCTTTTCTGGACGGGGTGTTTTGCGCATGCGTGAAAATCGCCATTCTGTGGATGGCTGCCTATGCGCATGCACAAACTGAGTTAAAACAACAACAACAAACTGCCGACGCCCGCTGTGTGTGAATGGGCATACAGCAATGGGCTCCGCAGACAGGAGGTAAGTGTGATCGCGTTTCAGCCAGCATAAACTGCAACGGTTCCAACCAGTACAGTTTATGCCGGCTGAAATGCCCCATCTGAACGCACCCTCTGTTTTGAAAATGGCCTTCTGCCACACACCTTTATAGGCCTTTCCATAAAACAGCTTGGCTGGGGAAGGGAAAGAGAGGGGAGAAAGGGCTGTGGGGGCATTTCGGTGCCTGTGCTTTTGCGCCATCATACTATTCCTGCCTCTCCCACTCTGCTCATTGCCACCAGGGCTGGGGGCGGGGGGAGGAAGCTTGTTTCCGTGCCCCATTGTACACACAGCCCAAGTGGAGGTCACTGCCAAAAGAACCTGCCACTAAGATGTCCGTTGACACACAGGCTCATATGTGCAGAGGGAGAAGAACCAGCATCTTGATTCAAGTTTGTAACCAAACAAAGACCTGGTGCCCTATTCTGAAACTGGCTCAGTGTGTCCGTGACACCAGGCCCAAACAAAGAGATGGGTAGCCACTGTTTGGTGCCAGCTGTGACTTCTGCAATGTCTTCAAGATAATCACCAACAGAACATGTGGCAATGAGCAGTCTTGGAAATTACAAAAGCTCAGATTTTTGGGGATAGGTCAGCTGAGAGTAGAAGAAGAGTTGGTTTTTATACCCTGCTTTTCACTATCCGAAGGAGTCTCAGAGCGGCTTACAATCGCCTTCCCTTCCTCTCCCCACAACAGACACCCTGTGAGGTAGGTGGGGTTGAGAAAGCTCCAAGAACTGTTCTTGAGAGAACAGCTCTCAGAGAACTTTGACTGACCTAAGGTCACCCAGCTGGCTGCATGTGGAGGAATGGGGAATCAAACCCAGTTCTCCAGATTAGAGTCCTGCCACTCCTATCCACCACCCCAAACTGGCTCTTGGTGAGGCTAGTTTTGAAGGAGATGTAACTGAAGGATGCCATTCCTAGAAGCACTGATCTGCTTTTCCAAAAAGCAAGGATGGTCCGGAAGGATTCCATGCACTTTACTTAATGAGCCGAGGATAAATGCGTTGCATCCAGACTGTCAAATCAGCTGTACTCACCAGCATCACCTCTCTCTCTATATATTTTTTTAAATTAGGTGGAGTGCAAAACTACACAAGAATAAATATGGTGGTGGTGCAAAGTGCCATCGAGTTCCAGCCAAATTATGGTGACCCTGCATGGTTTCCAAGGCAAGAGATGTTCAGAGGTGGTTTGCCATTGCCTGCCTCTGTCTAACGACCCTGGACTTCCTTGGTGGTCTCTCATCCAAGTACTGACCAGGGCCAGCCCTGCTTAGCTTCCGAGTTCTGATGAGATTGGGCTAGCCTGGGCCATCTAGGTCAGGGCAATAATAAATATAAGGTAAAGGTTTCCCTTGCTCGAAAGCCAGTCGAATCTGACTCTAGGGATGCGATGCTCATCTCCGTTTCCAAGCCGAAGAGCCAGCACTGTCCGTAGACGTTTCCATGGTCATGTGGCCGGCATGACTAAATGCCGAGGCGCACGAAACGCTGTTACCTTCCCACCAAAGCAGTACCTGTATATCTACTTGCAATTTCTTGCTTTCGAACTGCTAGGTTGGCAGGAGCTGGGGCCAGAGACGGGAGCTCACTCCGACATGCGGCACACTCGGGTCTCGAACTGCTGAGCTACCGACCTTCCAGTCTGCAGCTCAGCGTCTTAACCACTTGAGCCACCGCAGCCCCTAATAAATATACACTACCCCAAATTTAACGTATCCTTTCTTAACCATATTGCATCGGGGAAACACTTGTCCCAGTATTTAAAAGACGGGATTCCGTCATTCTGCAAAAAGATGGCATATTTCACGCAACCTAGAGCATCAGTCTAGGATCTGGTACATCCAGGTTCAAATCTGCACTCTGCCATGGAAGCTCACTGGGTGACCTTGGGCCAGTCACACATTGTCTCAAACTGCTGAGCTACCGACCTTCCAGTCTACAGCTCAGCGTCTTAACCACTTGAGCCACCGCAGCCCCTAATAAATATACACTACCCCAAATTTAACATATCTTTTCTTAACCATATTGCATCGGGGAAACACTTGTCCCAGTATTTAAAAGACGGGATTCCGTCATTCTGCAAAAAGATGGTATATTTCACACAACCTAGAGCGTCCGTCTAGGATCTGGTAGATCCAGGTTCAGATCTGCACTCTGCCATGGAAGCTCACTGGGTGACCTTGGGCCAGTCACACATTGTCAGCCTAAACCGCCTTGTAGGGGAGTTGTTGTGAAGATAACATTGAAGGTGAGGGGAACAATTTTGTCAGCCCTTTTGGGCTCCCCTTGGGGGAAAAAAGGGAGGTATAAATATCTAAATAAATAAATAGACTTAAGTGATGGTTTCATTCAGCGGCCTGGCAAATGTTGATGAGCATGGGACAGAAAAGAACTTTGGGGAACCCCATAATCGAGGTCTCGGAGAGGTGATTCCATTTCTGTAACGGATGGGTTTTGTTAAGCCCAAACACTAGAGAATGATTTCTGAAGACCTCTCCCTCTTCTTCAGCAGATTTAAGAGATGGTTATGGTCCACTGTGTCAAAGCCTGCTGATAAATCAAGCAGGATCAAAATAATGGATCCCCCCCCCTCATGCTGTCCTCCTTGCAAAACCAGGCCTAGAGTCAGATTGAAAAGGGAGATTCCCCCCCCCCTTTAGTCAGCAAGTCGCAGTTGATTTATGGCAACCCTGTAGGGTTTTTATGGTAAGAGACATTCAGAGGTGGTTTGCCCTTGCCTGGCTTTCTCTGGTATTCACCCATGCAAATACTGACCAGGCCCAACCCTACTTAGCTTCCAAGATCTAGGATATCCAGGTTAGGGTAAAGATTTGATATAGGTCTTTAATTAGCCAACTCCCCCTTTGCTGCAGAAGGCTTTTTAAACAGATGTCACCGTTGCCTTCTTTAAACCTCTGGGAAATTTCCACTAGAGGGTTTCGTCATCCTGGCTGAAAGTTACAAAAAACATTAGATTTAAATCAGGCCAGAGTGAGCAAGGATCTCTTGGCCTTCACCACTCCCAAGTATTCTGTCCAGTCAGTCAGAGAGAGCCATCCAGAGCTCTCCGTTACAGTTTTGACACATGGAGCTTCAGATACCTCTCACCAAAGATCAGCTTTCGCTTTGGCATCCAAGTGGGGACCGGATGAGAGAAATGTCATCATCAAAGAATCTAGCAAAAGACTAGGAATCTTCGTAATCTGGGGTGGGGTGGGGGTCACGAGCTAGGTGTTAGAAATACTTCATGCCCTGTTGAAGAAGAAGAGATTGGATTTATACCTCGCCCTTCACTACCCAAAGGTGTCTCAGAGGGGCTTACAAACCCCTTTCCCTTCCCCTCCCCACAACAGACACCCTGTGAGGTGGGTGGGGCTGAGAGAACTCTGACACAAACTGCCCTTTTTCAAGGACAGCTGTGCCAGAGCTTGTGACTGACCCAAGGTCACATCAGCAGGTACAAGTGGAGGAGTGGGGAATCAAACCCGGTTCTCCCAGATTAGAGTCCGCACACTTAACCACTACACCAAACTGGCTTTGTGGGGAATGTCTCCACGTCTGCAGTGTTGTTGGAGGAGAAGGACTGTTTTCATGTACCACTGCATACTCATTCAATCATTGGGTTCTGGTCTGATGAAGAAGAAGGGAGAAGAAGAGATTGGATTTATACCCCACCCTTCACTCGGAGTCTCAGAGCAGTTTACAATCTTCTTCCCTTTCCTTCCCCACAACAGACACCCTGTGAGGTAGGTGGGGCTGAGAGAGCTCTTTCGAGGACTGCTCTTGAGAGAAAAGCTCTGAGAGAACTTGTAACTGACCCAAGGTCATACCAGCAGTTGCATGTGGAGGAGTGGGGAATCAAACTCGGTTCTCCCAGATTAGAGTCCACGTGCCTAACCACTACACCAAACTGGCTCTCCCTGTAGAAGGCTTTGACCTGGATAGCCCAGGCTACCCTGATCTTGGAAGCTAAGCAGAGTCGACCCTGGTTAGTATTTGGGTGGGAGACCTCCAGGGAATACCAGGGTTGTGACATGGAGGCAGAGCAATGGCAAATCACCTCTGAATGTCTCTTGACTTGAAAACCCTGCAGGGTCACCAGAAGTCAGCTGCAACTTGATGACGAAAAGAAAAGAAAAAAGGGCTACAATTTTTCCCGACCTGGATAGCCCAGGCTAGCCCAGTCTCATCAGATCTTGGAAGCTAAGCAAGGTTGACCCTGGCTAGTATTTGGTCGGGAGATCTCCAAGGAATACCAGGGTCATAATGCAGAGGCAGGCAATGGCAAACCACCTCTGAATGTTTCTTCCCTTGAAAACCCTATGGGGTCGCCATAAAAGTCAGGTGCGACTTGATGGCACTTTCCACCATCATGACCAGAAGGCCTTAGAGAGACATGGCTATTTTTGCACTGTCCTCTGTGTGTCCGAAAAAAGGAATGCTGCCAGGAACACGTCTGGACCTTACAGCCGACCAAACTCCGTCGACTACGAAATGTGTGCGATTTAATGATATATGTTGTCCTCACCCCCAGCATTGTTAGTCCCATGTGAAATTCAGGAGTAACTGTAAATTGCTCAGAGCCGGCAGCTCTACATGGATTGAGCAATCAATAAATGGAAAGATTATTATTATTATTATTATTATGTGTGTGGGGGGGTGCATTCGGGGGGGGTTGATCTTGTAGATGAGGCAGGTAGCCTTCCATCTGTCTTCTCTTTCAGCCAGTGGTCACCAGTCAGATGGGGACTATCAACAATTTGATTCACGTCAAGAAGTCGGACTTTGAGGTGTTTGATGCTCTGAAAGTGGACTCTCAGGAAAGTTCAGAGTCTTCCTGTCGAGGTGATTCCTTTGTGCTCCTTGGTCCGAACATCCCAAAGGCTGGTCCTTTTGTTCTGATTTCTTTCTCATGCCCTCTTCTTGAATTTTCTTTTAAAATAGATCTCTCTGGTTCCCCTCCTGGGATTTATAGTCAAGAAATGTACGTCTATCGGCCTGAAGAGCGTTTCAAATCCCCACCCATTCTCCCTCCCCACCTCCTCCAAGTCATCCTCAACAAGGATACTAATATTTCGGTGAGTCCCGTTCCCACCCCCCCACACACACCCAATGAGGACAGCTTACGATAAGTGGGAGAGTGAGCCCCGGAAATTTCCATCACGAGAGACGCCTGTTCTCTGCAAAACACATGGTTCCTCTAAAGCAGTGGTTCCTAACCTTTTTAGCATGGTTACCCTCAAGTCCGTATTTATTTTGTATGGCGAACTATCCAGAGCTGGCCCGGGGTTTTTTGGTGCCACAGGCAAACTATGAACCTGGCACCGATCTGTGCCAGTGTCTCATTTTCTATAGTGCCCAATCAGGTGTTTTTTGAGAAACCAACAAACATCACACAAAGGGTGCAGCTGCCCCCACTAGGAACCCCAAGGCAGTGAAAGTTCTCCTCTGTCTCCTCCTCCTCTGTCACCTGGGGCCAGGGCTGGAGTTTCATCAGGTACACTTGGGGGGGGGCACTGGGCTGAGGAGATACACAAAGATGGCGGTGAACAGGTTGGCGGGAAGGGGCTCCGTGCAGTACCTCTCCCACAGCAGGCAGAGGGCAATGAGGCACTGCAGGGGCCTGGGCAAGAGACCACAGAGAGTGGAGGATGAGAATTTGAGAAGTTGGCAAGGAGGAAAGAAGTGATGCAAAGTTTGGGGCCAGTTTGGTATAGTGGTTAAGTGGGCGGACTCTAATCTGGGAGAACCGGGTTTGATTCCCCACTCCTCCACTTGCACCTGGCTGGATGACCTTGGGCAAGCCGTAGTTCTGATAAGAGCTGTCCTTGAAAAAGAGCAGTTTCTGTCAGAGCTCTCTCAGCCCCAGGACCTACCTCACAGGGTGTCTGTTGTGGGGAGGGGAAGAGAAAGGAGTTTGTAAGCCACTCTGAGACTCTGAGTGAAGGGCGGGGTATAAATCCAATATCTTCTTCTCTTCTTCTTTTACCTCACAGGGTGTCTGTTGTGGGGAGGGGAAGGGAAAGGAGTTTGTAAGCCGCTCTGAGACTCCTTCGGGTAGTGAAGGGCGGGGTATAAATCCAATCTCCTCCTCCTCTTCTTCAAAGGGCAGGAGCAGCCATCAGGGAAGGCTGGCCTGCGACCCACTTCCAGAGGCTTTGCAACACGCCTTTGAGGTCCCAACCCACAAGTTGGGGAACACAGCGTCCTAGAGCTCACGACTCCTGCACAGTTAGGATGATAACTATAAGGCAGCCAGGGTTTCCTCACACACCCTATGAGGCATATCAGAGATGATTATCAACGTGTGACTCAAAATCAAGGTATAGGGGAGAGCCCGAACAGGCTGCATTAGTATTTCCATGACTCTGTCTCTTTGGACCAACCTTTCTTTATTTTTCAGTGTGATCCAGCCCTTTTGCCTGAGCCAAATCATGTCATGTTGAACCATCTCTATGCGCTCTCCATTAAGGTAAGGTTAGTTTCGTGTAGTGGTTAGGAGTTCAGACGCTAATCTGGGAGAACCGGGTTTGATTCCCCTACTCCTCCACATGCAGCTGCTGGTGTGACCTTGGATTTTTAGAAATTATTTATTTATCCTTGGATTTATATCCCGCCCCGAAGGCTCAGGGTGGCTGACAAGGGCACAATGTGCCAAGATGATAACAATAAAAACGCAAGTATAAAACAGTAAAATACCGTAAAATACAATAACAAATCAGTCACAAGTTCTGTCAGAGCTGTTCTCTCAAGAGCAGTTTCTGTCAGAGCTCTCTCAGCCCCACCTACCTCACAGGGTGTCTGTTGTGGGGAGGGGAAAGGAGATTGTAAGCCGCTCTGAGACACCTTCGGGTACTGAAGGGTGGGATATAAATCCAACCTCCTCCTCCTCCTCCTCCTCCTCCTCCTCTTCTTCTTCATCATCATCATCATCATCATCATCATCATCAAGAGGTAACCTAATTCACTAGACATTGCCCTGTCTTTTAACCCATCCAACGGGTCTCTCTGCCCCATTTTGCTAATTCTGCTTTGCATTGTCTGCAAAGAGTGAAATGGATCGTCTGAAACCGGACTGGGTGGGGGTGGCATTTCAGGACCCCAGGCAGGAGAGCAAGGAGAAGTTGAAAAGGGGAGGCATTCCGAATGGACTCTGGAGGATCAGGATCATTTCACAGACCCGATCCCTTGAAATCTGACAAAGGGAGCTCTGACTCTCAAAAGTTAAAACCCTGAAAATCTTGTTGGTCCCTAAGGTGCCGTTGGACTCGAATCCAGCTCTTCTACCGCAGACCAACATGGCCGCCCTCCTGGAAATGTCCCCTGTTGTGAACACGCTGACACTTCTCTGTCTCCTTCCTATAGGATGGTGTGATGGTGCTCAGTGCCACCCACCGCTACAAGAAGAAATACGTTACCACCCTCCTCTACAAGCCCATTTAAATTGCTGCCGGTCCCCGTTATCTGTTGGACAGAGGAGGGGGAGCTGTTCAGAGACTGCTGTTTGGTGTGCCCGCACTGGAATACACGGCAAGCGTTAAGAGTGGCCGTCAGATTCCCGGTAGAGCTGAAAGCTCTGTAAGATGCCAACCGTGTCTTGTTCACGTGTGATTTTCGTTCCCCTGGTGACTCGTTCTACCCTATAACTTGTGCTTCTTAATTGCACATCGTTGGTACCGTCAAGGTGTTGGGCACGTTATCCGATGGACCCTGAAGGGACCTGGCTTCCTTGTGAGGAACACAAAGGCAAAGCAAAAGATCTCTCTTCCTCCGTGGCCTGTGCCGGATGGCCTCTTGCAGTTCTCCCGCCCTGGAGATCTTTATGGGAACAGCAGGGTTCAAGGCAGAGAAGGGAAATGTCTTTTCACCTGATGTTCGGTCGACACCTGCTTCCTGTTCCTCACCATCATGTGATTGTTAATTGTTATTGATTTTAAAAGTGCCGTTTTACAGATAATGATACCTCTCCCCTCAAGGACCCTACCTGGAAGTGTAGGGGTATTTTAGTAAAAAAAAAACACACACTAACATACGAAGGACTGAAGCACGATGCAGTTGACTATCGAAACATATATATGTTGTATAGAATCCATACACTGTAAGCAAATGGATGCAAAACACAAGTGTTTAAAGTTCAGTACACAGTGTGTTCAGTGGATTTCCAGTAAAGTCTGATCCCTTTTAGCACAAATATTCAAGACCACTATCTGTTGCCTGTACATTATATAACAAACTACGTGTTTGCCTAGGAAGATGGACTCACTCCTGCAAACTCAGCTCTCCTCGGTTGGCAATAAGGGCCTGTATCAGTACCCCTCGTGCTGAATCACAAATCTCCTTTAAAACCTCCATTTATTTAGCATAGTTAAAGGGGACAGGAGAAAAAAAACCTTTTATAATTCTTGCATCTAAATGTTCTTATCAGTATGTTAAAGATATATGGGCATAACAAAAGTAAAGACCATATGGAAAGAAACAGAATTCTTAGGGTTCAGTAAAATAACTGATTTGAATGTTTTTAAAAAGTCCCATACTAATGAGGAGGCCCCAGTGAGGCTTCAGGAACTCATTTCCTAGCTCCCATTTATCCTGATCCCAAATTCCAAACGAAACAGGGGGCGAGTCCTCCTTATAAAGAAAAAAGCCACTCATATATCATTTAAAGATGGTACTCGGAGGGATACAGATCAGTTAACCAGAGGTCATTTCGGGGGGGATCGCAGTGAGGTTCGGGGG